GGTGTGAGAAAACAAATTTTGCTGCACACCAAAATTATTCTACAAAATGCAGAAATGGCAAAGTTCTCCATAAACTCAGCAAGGCTTCATAAAAGTACAGCAGGGTAGACTTTACAAATATTCACTTCCATTAGGTGATCACAGACAAGCTGAAGAGACAGACAGTATCTGGGACAGTAGCCCTTTAGAATGGGTATTGAACTTCATGTTAAATCGTTACATTCTAATTGGACATTTATACAGGATATATCGGTATTCTCCTAAAAAGGTTTCCCAATTCTGAATGTCTTTTAAGCACAATTTAAAACATGCTCAAAAATTTCCTTCCACATCAGCCAGCCTTTTCTGAGTTTAAACTCGACTTAAATTTGTCTGGTCATACAAACCAAAGCAGAGACTTAGCAGCTGCATTGGAAATTGGGACTTGCATATAGATTTAATGTGAAAGAAATTATTCTAAGATAATTTTTAAAATTAATCTATTTTTATTATTCTGCTTGTACCTTAACTATGGCATAACAGATTTGCTAATTTAAAAGGTCATAGAACCAGTTACCCCAGTTTTATCTACAGACCATTTGAGGTACTTTTTATACTTGAAAGCATTTTCTTGTATTCTATTCTTTGCTCTGAAAACATGGGCTTTAACCAGTCAAGGGAAACACATTTGGTCTCATCATTCAGGAGTACTTCAGGATATGTGTGCAGCATTGCAAACAGGACAGAATGCAAGCAAGACAGTTCCAACTCAGAGCCTCGCCCCTCAAGAAAAGGACTTAGTGGTCCATCCTTTAAAATCCCCACTTCCAACAGTTTTTGATGATATGGCAGTCCTAACACCCAAGGTTCTCCTTCAGGGCGCTGTCCTCTGTGGCCGTCTGAGGCCTTGGGCCCTCTTCCCATACAGTCCCTCCTCAGAGCTTCCCCGACACTGAAGGGCACCCCAGCAAAATGCTCTTCTGCAGGAGCAGAGAACAGACCCACAGCTTTGCTCAGAGTGGATGCTGAAGCTGAATTTCTTCTTATTGATTCTTTCAAATATGGGTGCACTTTGCTGCCATTGTGAAGCAAGAGGTCAGCCTCATTCAGATCATCTTTCGTTTCCAATGATAGCACCTCATTGTGTGAATCTCCATTTACATCAACCACAGGCTTATTCATCCAGGAAGGTTTATCAGCTGAACAAGGGCTCCCCTTCTCTGTTCTTTTCTTAAGGCTACAGGATAGTGTGTCGAAGTCTTCTCCTCTGTCATCCTTCATTTTTGCCAGACAGGTGCCAAGAACCCTTCTCCCTTCCCTCATGCTTTGTGTCTTTGACGTAAGGAGCCTGAGGTCACACCTTTGCCAGTCAGGGGAGGACCTTCAATGGATCTCAATATGAACCTGGAAAAGATAATCAAAGTTTTACAATGAAGATATAAGGTATTAAGAGCATCTACACACACCAAATATTCCCTAACTAATAATAAGATCACTTGAACAACCTCTGGTACCAATGATTCCTACAAAGTGAGAGAAAAAAGAATAATAATCTATCCATCAGTGATCGTAACAACAAAAAAACTCCACTACTTTATTATTGCAGTATTTCCTAAAAATACTTAAAAATAGGGCCAGCCTGTGGCTCACTTGGGAGAGTGTGGTGCTGATAACAAGAAGGCAATGGGTTCAGATCCCATATAGGGATGGCCGGTTAGCTCACTGGGTGAGCATGGT